ATGTCAAGTCACTCCAGCAATAACAAATAGCTCACATATTCTGCTATTTAGGAAAAAGAAAATTGGAGAGGGGCCTGCAGCAGTGGCACAGAGCCAGGTGGAGGGATGTGTTACGTTTCTGAGCCTCTAGGCCATACACATCCACCCTGGGACCGAAGCTGCGCTGGAAAATTCTGACTCCCCTGAATAATGATTGGGATTGTAGGAACTGGAGCTCGGCCAACGGCAGAGACTCTTTGATGGGAATGGACCAATGTCAGCACCAAGAGGAAATCCACAACTGCATCAACCCAGGGGGAAGGGCACGTGCTCCGTTCTCTCCCCAAGCATCCCAACTGGGAGAGTCTGCAGAACTTAACTCTTTGCATGCAACACACATTTCAGCTGTTTCCACTCACTGCAGGGAACAGCACAGGCCTTGCTGCAGTGTGGAGGCACAAACAGGCCCTTTGTCACTGTGGTTTAGTTTAGGTTTATAATCTCACCTTCCTAAGGCCTCCAAAATGAACATTTTGGCACAGAACCACTCTGCTCTTTTGATAGAGGCTGTTGCTTGGCTATGCCAATAATAGCACAGCTCCAGTTTCCATTCATGCAGATCCACCTCTGATCTGACCTGGATCTTTTGTGTTATTCCAGGTTTGGGCATCTTTCCTTTAAAGCTGAAACTCTATTCATTTACAGTGTGTTACAAACGTAACTCTCATTTTATAACTAAATGAATGGACTCTCCCTAAACAACCTTCAGTTTCTCTTCTAAGGGATATCACAGAACCACAGAATACCCTGAGCTGGAAAGGACTCACAAGGATCAACCCAACTCCTGATCCTGCACAGACAGCCCAACAATCCCACCTGAGAGCAGGTGAGAGGACATAGTCTTAAGCTGCATCAGGGGGAGTTTAGGTTGGATATAAGGAAGAATTTCTTTACAGAAAGGGTGATCAGCCACTGGAATGTGCTGCTCAGGGAGGTGGTGGTGTCACCATCCCTGGAGGTGTTAAGGACAGACTGGAGGTGGCACTTAGTGCCCTGGTCTAGCTGACATGGTGGTGTTAGGTCATAGGTTGGACTTGACGATCTCAGAGGTATTTTCCAACCTGTGACTCTGTTCTGTGCTAAGAAGGGTGAAAATATTGCACCAGCCAGAAAACAGAAAACCAGCTACCAGTTCAAGGGAGGAATGAGTGGAAACTGCTCCTGAAAGACTGAGCTGTTGGGTGTTGACACCGCAAAGCACAACCTGCAGCAGGTCATGCCTTGAGTTCAAATCAACAACTTCAGCTGGCCTTAAACTTTGGATCCAGACAAAAAGGATGAGAGAACGTGTACATATGCCTTATGTGGCTCCAGGAATGCTGTGAGGTGATCCATGCACAGAAAGCCTCACCATACATCTGCCTTCCTTCCGTAGCCTTCCCCGCTGATCACCTCGGGGCTCATCCAGTACGGAGTGCCGGTGACGGAGCGGATTCCTGTCCCAGACATACAGATCGTCTGCAGCCGTTTGCTGGCCCCAAAGTCCCCAAGCTTCACATTCCCAGCAGAGTCACGGAGAATATTGGCTCCTGCACAGCAACAGAAAACGAAGACAGCTGTTTCCATGCACTCCAGCTGTTGGATCTGCAGCCCTCAGAGCTGACATCCAACCCAAAACACCCGTGAGCACGGTATGGCTCTTTCCCCATTAAGCCTCAGGTGACCTGCTAAACATCATTTCTTTAATTCAGGCTGTAGACAAGCCAATTGCTAATGGCTGCAAATGGGAAAAACTTCAGGGAAGAACACAAGGAAGTGAAGGGGGGAGGGAAACGAGAGCTGAGTCAGCACCAGCATTGTTAGAGTGCCTGTAAACAGCTCAGGCAGCCTAGCAGGGCCCCCAGGCCAAGGGCTGAGACAGAACACAGCTCTGCAGAGAGGGATTTTGTTGGGATGCTGCCTTGGTGAGTGTAAGCATTGCTTTCTGGTCAGCTGGGTAACAGATGTAGCTAATTAAACCACTTTGAAGGCCTACAATAAACAAGTCAATCTCCACTTTACTTGGTCAGAGGTCCTGAACATGAAGCACCAGGGAAAAAAGCAAACTTCAGAGCTTAGCTTGTATGTGGACACAAACTAAGGCTTAGACACCAAAAACAATTCCTCCTCCAAAGCTGCAATGAGATCAAGAACCCTGTGCTGCTATTATCTGGTGTGGGCCTACGTGAAATCCTTCTGCCCTCAAATCCAATGGACTTGTAGAGGGGGACAGGTTTGGCACGTCACTTACCCACTGGAAGAGCTGAATCCAGAATGCCAAGTCTGGAAGCAAGGTAAGTGTGGCTTAGGTGGGTGCAAACCAGTAAACAACCCAGCAGGTAGGAAATAATTTGGCAAAGAGCCCCATGTGAGCACTCTGCAAGGTGTAACTCAAGAATCAGCAGTTTGTTTCCCTTCGCCACCTTAGAGGGGATTCAATCAAGGTTTATAGGCAGGAACAAGAGGATATTTTTCCTGCAGCTACCAGCTCTCCTGGGCCTTCTAGGGCACAGAAAAATCTCTGTGGTGTCTATCACATCTGCTGACATTAACTCCTAAGGAGACTGTCTGGCTCCATGGGGAGACTGCACTGGGAAGAGGAAGATTAAGGACTAATCACAAATGGAGGGTTGGAGGTTTCTTCCACAGAGGAGACAGCACAGCCACAACAGCCTGAGGTTAGCACTACTGCTAAGAGCCATGGAGCTCTTATGGCAGTTGGCATGCCAGCCACCTGGGAAATGGTACTTTGGCTAAGCAGGGAGGAAATCAGAAGGGAATCCACAGTGGGAATGAGAATGCCTTAAGGCAGTGAAAGACAGGTGGTAACTCAGCCTTGTTTCGTTGGAGTGTGAGAGAAAGATGAGGAGTTAAAGGAGTGTTCCTAAGAACTAGAGGCTTCCAGACTCCCTTACTATAACCAACTACCATGTTCTCAGATCCCATAGAGAACCCTTACTCAGAACATGACCTTCCTTAAGCCCTGGATGTGAATCTAAGACCAAAATGGGATAACCAAGCAAAGCAATGCTCATCAGCCCCAAGCAGAACACTGAATTCTTAACACTTTCCCCAGCATTTCCTTAGCATGTGGTCCATGTACATCCTCATCTCACCCTTTATGTCCCTGTGCACAATCATGTTGCTGTGAAGGTAGGAGACTCCCTCCAGGATCTGGCGAGTGTATTTGCGGGTGACGTTTTCCGTGAGAGCACCATATGCCTTCAGCTGGTCCTTCACTGACCCCTGCACCAACAGCAGACACAAGGCATTGGGCAAAGCCATGACAAACCACACATTCTGCAGTCTCCACTCCGTTCCCATGAGCTGTGGCTGTGTTATACACCCACTAATGAATTCTGGCCTCTCCTAAAGCCTTTCTGTGAGGCTCTCCGAGCATCTCGCCCTCAGAACACTTTGTAAGAACAGCAAGGATGGACTTCATGGCAAAAAGAGCTTAAGGAGATTCTATCTGCTTCCTCCATCCTTGAGCTGTGCTGTACAACTGGTTGTGAAGACAAGTAATAACACAGTTCAGCAGACTGATCCGGGTTAAAATCCTCCCTCCCTGCAGGGTCAGTTTTAGCCTGGTTTGCTGTCCTATGACTGTGCTGATTCAGTCTGCAGGATTTAAAAGTTGGCCCAAGTCCTCTGAAGTACTTTGGCAGAACAAATTTAGACTGAAGAACTGGCTTTAGTGACTGAGAATGTATTGCAAGTACCAGACACTTAAGGAAAGAAAACCAAAGAGGTTATTTGGGCATAAACAACACGAAAGTGATGGCACGAGAAGGGGCAGCCCTAAGATAGATGACATAGCTAGGGGAACTACAGCAACTAATAAATCAACTACCAAACACACCCCTCTCCCTTTCTGACCTGTCCCTGTGCTGTTTGTGCAGCTCTTACCCCTGGCATGTACTCCATGAAGATGGTCAAGGTTTTCTCTGCTCGGTCCCGTAAGCAGCCGTAGTACTGCACAATGCGTTCGTGCTGGAGGTTCTTCAGCAGCTGAATTTCACACTCCAGGGCACTCACTTCCTATGGATGTTGAAGGAGAGAATAAGGTTGCAGCCATATGAAATATTCCCTCCTAATAAACTCATCGTGTCCCTGGCAGGATGAGTCCAAATCTCCATTGAGAAGCCTAATCCATGGCATTGGTTCATCTGCTTCTTGGAAGAGATAAACATACCCAGTGCATCAGATTAATCCTTACAGGTGGGTGAGCTTTGGTAGTTAGAGCACAGACAGTGTCATATGTGGATTTAGTACCAGGAAAACAGTTTCTTGCCTTGGTTCTGCCAGCAGCATTGCTTTGGCCAGGGTGGCTGAGAGGATTCTTACCCACAGCACAGGTCTACCCTCACTTCTCACACTAAGCTGAGGGCAGGGAGTCTTAGCTATGAAACAGCTCTAAATACAGCTACAGAACTGCCAGGAATCTCTCTATAGGAACCTCAACCCATTAAGAGAGCAAAGCCACAGGTGCTGAGAGCTCCTAAACTTGTGTCACCCAGTCCTGTGACACAAGGTCCCATTCACACCGATGATTTTACTGGAATCAACCTTACAAACACCTTCCTCTCATATTTACTTCGAAGAACCTGCAGCTCTGCACAGGAATCTGACTCTCTGCTTTGCTCTTGCCACAGACAACAGGGTATCACAGCACAAAGGCAGAGAGGCTATCCAGCAATTTCAGACATAATCAGAGCTGTCTGTTGCCCAGGAAAAGGATCAGGTTCTTGCTGAATTCAAGGAATGAACAGGAGGAACATCAAAGGTACTGGAGCATGAAGATTTATGGAAAAAGGAATGATGGTTTCCCCTCAATTAGTCCCACTTAACTCTCTCCAGCCCTGCCACAGGAAGGTGTCAGGTTCAGCTCTCTCACTCTGGGATGCAACTCCTCACAGCAAGGACCTGGATGCTGCAGGGACACATGGAACCAGGGGAAGCTGCTTCATCAGGCCAAGTGATAGTTTGGGGTTTGGAGTTGCAGTGCCTTCAAAATATATTCCAGCCTGTTCTTCCTTGGCTCAGAATTACTGTCTGATTTACAACAGAGACATGGTAGAACTTGGAACTTCCCAATTTAGGACTTATCTTGGCACCAATATCCCATATAAAATCAGAATAATGAAATCTTCATGGATCAGTTATTCCAGCTCAAAGTGAATTTGTTCAGTACTGGGAAACTGGTACATTGTTAGAACACTAGCAAAGAGCCTAACAGCCATTCCAGCTGCATCCACTGTCCCATAGTTTCAAGGTGTCCCTTCTCATCTCCTCTGTTTCTAATGTGCTGTCACATCACTCTTCTTGATTAATTTGCACACCACAGACCAATTTCGTTAGAGGACAGGGAGAATTCAGGAGTGGAAATTGGTAATTAATATACTTGATACAGGGTGTACCATATAAGCCCACAAAGTGGGTTTTGCAAGTGCAAGCAGGCTTTTTTTAACTTTAAAAAAAAAAAAGAAAGGAAAAAACCCTCCTACTCTTTCTGGATTTAGTTTCATTCACATCCATGTCTAACCAGGAACACAGGGCAGACTAGTATTCCTCAAGTAACTTGGCAACAAACCAAAAAGCCGAGAAGGGAGAGCCAAAAATGAAGCCAGAATATGGATTTTAGTTTCAGACTGAAGTTAATAATACAGAAAAGTCATTTCTAAATGACTCCTATTCTTCTCCACATGACTTGAAACCCTAGCAGGGACTGGAGAAGATGCCAGCTCTCACGGACAGACAGACAGAGGCATTTTGCTGGATCTGACAGGATTTTAGGGGCTGAGAGGAGAATTACCTTGCTTGTTTCAGGGCTCTCTGGGTCAAACTGGACCTGCTTAGCTGCGAGCTCTCTGCCCGTGTCCACGTCGTAGCACAGGTACACGCGGCCGAAGGCTCCTTGGCCCAGCAGCTTTCCCCGTCGCCAGTTTATGGGAGCACTGGGAGCTGAAAGGGAACAGCAGAGAGTCATGGAATCATAGAATCAACCAGGATGGAAGAGACCTCCACGATCGAGTCCAACCCTACCGTGGTCACTAGACCATGGCACTAAGCGCCACATCCAGTCTCAGCTTGAAAACCTCCAGGGAAGGTGATCCACCACCTCCCTGGGCAGCACATTCCAATGCTGATCACTCCCTCTAAAGCCTTCCTGGCCCATTCCCTTTGCCCCTGTCCCCAGGGAGCCCCGGTGAGGGCTCACATTTGGTGGGGATGTTCCTCTCCTGCACCCCCAGGGCGTTCTCGCTGTCGGCGCTGCGCAGGCGGCCGCGCGGGTCCAGGTACTGCAGGGCCAGGCCCAGGTTCTCCCCGTTGGTGCTCAAGGAACGACTGGAGGGGACCAAGGTGAAGAGATTCCCTTGGTGACGTCGTATCCGGGGGAAAGTCCTCCGGCCTGAGGGAGACAAAGGAGGATCTTTAAAGAAACTCTTCCAAGGTGATGGTTGGGGGTTGAGCAGTAAGGAGAAAGGAGAGAATAACCACGTTCTGGTCTGCTCCCATGGAGCAGAATCTACTGCCAAACAGACGAGATGCAAAAATGTAACAGTTCAGGGCTGATCCTGCCCGAGTTCAGTACAGCTCTGGATGATTTCCAAAGTAGAAGGCAGAGAACACTCTGTAATGCCCTCAGAGCTGTAATGCAAGACCTAAACTTGCCTCCCAAAGCAGAAATCTGGTTTACAGGCTACCACACAAGCTCTAAGCCTTGTTAACAACCACACACTGAATGACTTTCTAGGTAATGTGCCTGGACTGGAGAATAAAAACCATAAATGGAGATTATGGCAACTTGTACCTCATGAAATTTTGATAGACTAATTTGCATAAAGCCATCTGACAAGCAGAGATGTAAGTCTTTAAGTCCCTGCTATATTTAAAAGACCCAGCAGCAAGTGTGCATTGCAAATTAGGAAACCATAATGAATCCCTGAGGTAGGAACCTGCTATGTATGCCCAAGGCAAGTAACTATATCCACAATTCAACCCCAGCAGGGCCTGATCAGCATGGCTATCCCCACATATTTCTGGATATCCCCAGAAAGGACAGAGGAAACAAAGAATTACACACAACCATCACAGCTTTCCATGAAAACGTGGCATCACGCACAGTAGCATCAACTAACTGCAAGGACCAGAGCACTTCCAGGCTCTTCAGCTAGGAGTTACACTTGTCTGCAGAGGTTGCCACTGCCTCACCTTTTTCCAGCCTGGAATGGAAGGTCTGGGCAGGACTCACCATCGTTGTAGTCCTTGTGCTGCATGGAGACGTTGTAGCGCCGAGGGTAGGTCCCACCTTTCCCCGCCTTGTCGTAGATCTGGTTTTCTCGGTCTGGAAGGAGATGCACAGACAGAAATGAAGCTCCTGCAGAAAGTACAACCTCTAAGGACACAATTTTCCCCGTGACAGCAGGTTTTTAGGAAGAGGTAATAAATAACTTTATGGCTTTTCCATCAACATATCCCCAGCTGTTCTATTTATACAGCCCCAGCAAGCACGGAGGGCAGTGAGCCAACAGCAGAAAATGTCTGGATCAAATCCCCTCTGTCCCAGGGACATACCTGAGAACTCCTGTCTGTTATCAGGGAAGCTCTGTGCCCTTGACATCCGTGACTTCCGGAAAGAAGGACTATTAGGGAGAGAAAGAAAGAGTAAGTTTGGCTATCAACTAGAGCAAAACCCACATGGGCTTTAAATACAAGCGAATACATTTGCACATTGGTAATGGTGATCCCCAAATCTGTATCCCTGCAATGACTCCACACTATATCTGCAAAGCTAGAGCCAAGCTCAGCCCCAGCTAACCAGACTGTTTCCCAGTGTGGGCAGTCAGCTTTCCTGTTCAGTTTGAGCCATTCATTCAGCACTTCCCAGCCTGTGGCACAAGATTCATTTATTCAGCACTTCCTAGTTTGTGGTACAAGGCACAGTTATTCCTTCAGACATGGGAAGTGGAAGGCTGAGAAGCTTCCAAGGCTGAGAGGAAGAGCAGAACAGGGTAGGACTTGCAGCACACTGCTCACAGGGCAGTAGAGAACAAGGATTACAGCCCCCATGATTTACCAGGAAGGGCAAGATTTCCTCTCATGAAAACTTGGGAGCACTTTCCTCTCTCCAGTAGCAGATGATCCTAAACACAAACAAGGCTCCCACCCTTGTGTTTCTCCCCAGTAAAAAGGGCTCCTCAAACAAGCTCAAGTGTGCTTGGCATGAGGTCTTTAACATCAAGAAAACAAGAAGAAAACTTAGGAGCTGCAAAGCAGAACTTTTGCAGAAGTACAACTGGCATTTCAACCTCAGCACGTAGGTTCATACCAGCTTGTACATTTGTACCTGTCTCCTGACCTGTCCAAGGACTGGCAGCTTCCTGACACCGAGTTCTCAGCACTGCTTAGAGGGTCCAACATCTGCAACACACAAACCACACAGCAACATCAGTGCAGTCCAGCGCCCAGGGGAAGCTGTGCAAGAGGATCAGAGCCCACTACTGCTTGCCTGGAGGATGTCCAGCTGAGCAGGGGAGGCTAAGGCTATTGAAATGTACATTTTTGCTTTACTTCCCACAGAAATTAAGTTCCTATTAAATCTGAGAGGTTGCTTTAGGTGTTGAAGGATTTTGCTGTGAAAAATGGAAGTTTCAGCCAGCTTTGTGCTGCATTTTGATCCCTACTGCCTCCAGGAACAGTCTCTGTGGGTGCTGCTGCACTGCTGCCTCCACCTGCAAGTTGCCCTTTGGCCTCACTTCCTACTCTTTTGAATGGAGAGCAGAGTTTCAAAAGCAAGAGGGTCACACAAACCTGGTGATAGGAAACCTGAGCACACATGTGTGAGCACCAAAACTGCTCAGTCAGGGGGCAGAGGCAGTGCCCAGTACACACAGCAACTGCTTCTGGCAGCCCAACCAAGGCTTTGAGCTTACACAGCCACAATTGGAAGCAGTTTAAATGTACAAATCAGCATTTATAGAATGACAGAAAGGGTTGGGTTGGAAAGGATCTTAAAGCTCATCCAGTTCTAACCCTCTGCTGTGGGCAGGGACACCTTTCACTAGAGCAGGTTGTTCAATCTCTGTCCAGCCTGGCCTGGGTTGGGGCAGCCACAACTTTCTGGGCAACCTGTTCCAGTGTCTCAGCACTTGTAGGTGCTGATGCAACCACAGACAGTGACTATTGAGGAGTGAGAAAGGAGGCTCAGAACAGAGCAGAGTTCCTGGACAGCTGGGCTGAGTTTTTCCCCCCTCATGCTGATACTTACACACTGCTCATTGGTTTCTGGGATGAACTCCCCCTCGCTGTTGATGCTGGTGTAGGAGCCCTGGCGGGCGATGCGCTGCTGCCTCTCCGGCACGTACCCAGGGGGTGGGGAGCTTCGGCCTGTGTTCTGGGAGCCTGGGCCAGAAGGAAGGGTGGTTTGGTATTTATCCTGACTGAAAGCAGACTGGTCACAAAATCCACACAGCCACCTCTTGTGACAGACCTCCTCTAACTCCAGAGTGCGCCTCGCACGGAACCAGGAGGGGCCACGTCAAAAGCCAAACTGTCTGATGAGCACCTGTACTGACATTTTAGATACCATGAGATTACTGGGGAATCATAGAATCAACCAGGTTGGAAAAGACCTCAAAGATCATTGAGTCCAACCCTACTGTGGTTCCGAATTGCCACATCCAGTCTCAGCTTGAAAACCTCCAGGGATGGTGAATCCACCACCTCCCTGGGCAGCACATTCCAATGTCTGAGCACTCTCTCTGGAAAAAATCTCTGCCTAATGTCCAACCTAAACCTCCCCTGGCAGAGACATTTTAGATACTGACGTTTTTGAGATTGCTGGTGAAGCACCTAACACAGCTTCTGCCCAACTTTCTGAGCATAACTACAGGATCTCAGGGAAGGCAGAGGATTCCAGGAATCCCTAGCTTTAGGGCATGAACTTTACTCCATTGCTAATCTCCACTCTACAAAACACTTGTCAGGGCCACCAATCTTTGGCCTTGATTATAAGTTTGATACTGACGTTTTTGAGATTGCTGGTGAAGCACCTAACACAGCTTCTGCCCAACTTTCTGAGCATAACTACAGGATCTCAGGGAAGGCAGAGGATTCCAGGAATCCCTAGCTTTAGGGCATGAACTTTACTCCATTGCTAATCTCCACTCTACAAAACACTTGTCAGGGCCACCAATCTTTGGCCTTGATTATAAGTTTGCACCAATTAGATGACCTGGAGTGGAGTGACTTCCTGCTAGTCACTGTCAGCTGGGTGACAACTGAGCAATTCCAATGTCCTGTGGGAGCACTGTTACATTTGTAAATAACCCCAAAATTCCTGGTTTACTGCATGAGGAATGAAACTCTATGGGTAGTTTGGGCAAAACCACATGGAGGTCAACCCTGCAAGTCCTGTTAATTGGATGAGACAGCTGGATGAACAGAGAGGGGCCAAAGGATGGGAAAAACAGTTTGCTCATCTGTTAATGGCACTGCCTAGAGTTTCTGTTGTGCTACCCACCGAGAGAAACTTCACCCCCAGGATTTATTTTTTCCTTGCAGATCTCAAAGAAGATGATACTTTAGCTAGAGGAAGAAACAAAATCCCTTTTTGCAGTGACCTATCCACCTGCAGCTCCCACCAATTCCCACTGTGAGCTCCAAGAATTGCTGTGGTCCAGCCAATCTAGTCAAGGTCACCCATGAAGTCGGAGACAGCAGTTGAGGATCAGCTCTCAAGCTGTGCTCTTTATGACTCTGTCTTTAATTAACTGTGTGTACTCAGGTGCTAGGAAAGATGGGTACAGATCAGCAAATATTCTCCCAAGGAAAATATTTCCTACAGGAGTTGTTGCAATAAAGAGTGAAGGCAAATGTCGGCGGAAGCAAACTGAAAAGCAGAGCACACACCTTTGAGAGGGCTGAAAAGCAGAGAACACACCTTTGAGAGGGCTGAAAAGCAGAGCACACACCTTTGAGAGGGCTGAAAAGCAGAGCACACACCTTTGAGAGGGCTGAAAAGCAGAGCACACACCTTTGAGAGGGCTGAAAAGCAGAGCACACACCTTTGAGAGGGCTGAAAAGCAGAGCACACACCTTTGAGAGGGCTGAAAAGCAGAGCACACACCTTTGAGAGGGCTGAAAAGCAGAGCACACACCTTTGAGAGGGCTGAAAAGCAGAGCACATGCCCTTGAGAAGGCAGAAATGCAGAGCACAGACTTTTCAGAGGACTGAAAGGGAGAGCACACAACTTTTATAGGGGTGGAAAGCACAGCACAAACCTTTCAGAGGGCTGAAAGGCAGAGCACACACTTTTCAAAGGACTGAAAAGCAGTGCAGACACCTTTCAGAGGGCTGAAAAGCAGAGCACACACCTTCCAGGGGTATGCAGAAAGGAAAACAGCAATGCTGGCATGGCTTAGAGTGCATGGGGGGGATGAACCACATAAAAAAAGGGAATAATGGAACACAGAATCATGAAGTTTGCAGAAGACCTCCAAACACATCAAGTGCATTGTCTATTGCTCAGTCACCACCTGATTTTCCAAGCAGTTCCACAGGGCTCACGTGACCCTGAGGCCCAGTGGAGTGCAGACACACAGAGCAATGTGCAGTGGGGCTGCCCCGAGGCCTGGGAGTACTTTCACTCTTCCCACACAATGCCATGGGTGGCCAGAGCCAGCCCAGGGCTGCTGGCCCCAGCCCAGCTGCTGGTGTGGAAAGGCCCCATCCCTGGCAGGAAAGGGAAGTCGGCACTAAATCCCTGTATATCAAAGGAAGTGAGTGGAAAAAACACAAGTGCTGCCAGAATGCTTAGCAACTTTTTTTTTTTTTCTCCCCCTCTTTTAAAGAAAAGTTATCTTCCAACCCTCAGAGCTGGTGACAGTAGCTTGATGCTGTCCACTCAGGGGGGACGTGGATCTCCCTCCTGTATGCACAAAACTTTTGTTGGATGCTGCTTTGCACTTCCATTGCATGACGTGGTTTGGATAGGAGAGAATGCCTGAAACACCAGGAAACAGTGCACATTCCTTTTCCAAAGCAAAGATAGGAAAAGAGAAGGAAGAAGAACTTGATTCGAGGCTGAGCTCTTGCCAAATGACTAGCAGAGCTCTGACAGAACTGGAGCTCTTCTGGACCTCTTCACAACATAACTGTCTGCTACTCTGACATGTTCAGAAACTAAAACTACTGGTTTCTTGACTGATGAATGACAGGCTATCCAGAAAGCATCCCCAAACTGGGATAAGGGGAAAAAAAACCTGTGCAAGTGGGATACAGAAGGGGCCCCTTATTGCTATACAGTTTACCCATGACAGACACTCACTACAGTCTGTTAGCTTTGGCACCATATCTGGATACCTTAGAATGCCAATAAAGGAGGAAAATATATATGTATCTATATTTTAAATACAATATTTTTGGCATTGAATCTGTCTGGGAAGAAAGAAACGTAGTGTTCCGACGTGCAGGGATCCTGCTGCCTCCTGCACAGGACCCAGGAATGCTGCTCTTTTCATGAATGTTAACTTCAAACTGGAAAGGATGGGAAAAGTCTTTCTGTCCCTGTTTCAGTCACGTACTTCACGAGCTTTCAGCACCTCTTTGTTTGTTTGCTGCCCCATAAAAGCAAACTGTACAAAAGGGATCAGCAAACTCAAGGATACAAGCAGGTTTGCTACTCAGGTCTCACACTGGGAACTACTGGTTTAGTTCTCAAGTCCTTCCCTATTGCCACTCCCCCAGTTACCTCTGGTCAGAACAGTGTGGATCCAACTCTGGTTTAGACCCTCCAATATGGAGACTGTTCTAGTTTAATCTGTTTATTATCTGAGATTTAGTTTGCATTGCAAATACTGATCTCAAAATCTCGTAGTAATTTTGCCTCAAGTTTGCAGAGTTAAAGGAACTGAAGCAACAACTCTGCCAGAGAGAAGACCTTGCAGACAAAACAGCTCTGACATTCCCAGCTCCTAGCAGTGCCCTCGTGACTTGCATCACCTGTCCCCTGAAGCACCAGGTCTGACAAGCCCTAAAATAGCTGTTGTAACAAACAGAGTCATCCTCTGCTTCTGTTTCCAGCAAAATTTACCTTCTCTCACTTCTAAAGCAGCAGCAATTTACACAACACCATCTCTGGCTACTGCAGAGTCTATTCCTGCTCATCTTCTTCCTGTTCTTTCACTGCTCACTGAGCTTCACACCAAGGAGACGAATTCTAAACCACAGACTTTCATTTTTTTGACCCATAAATCTCTGAAGCTGCTTCAGATGTTTTAGTTTTTAATACAGAAAGTTAACAGCTTTGAGCATCCTTCAAGTACAGAAGGACTTTCTCATTCTCTTTTCTGCACCTCTGATATTAGACTTGTGCTCTGTTGCTATTCCAAGAGTGAAAGGTTAGGGAATTCTATGTAGGACACTGGTTGGATGTGCAGGAGTGATTCCTAGTAAAATGCTTGATTACAGGAGTCAGGAGAGATTCCAAAGCCCAACATAAAAAAAAATCCAAGCTAGGATTCGTGAACTGGAATTGCCAATCTAAATAAAAACCTTAATGGACTCACATCAACTTTCCAAACTCCTAACCACAATGGCTCTGGCTCTAGGACATCCCTTTAGCAGCTCCTCAAGCTGTTCAACAAATCAGTGAGGAACTCTGAATATTGTAAAACACAAGAAGAGCTTTTGAAAACGAACTGCCTTGTCCTAGAATAACCTTCCAATTTCTCCTGGCTCTCATAAATCCTATACCATCAACACTAGTGCCCCAAAAAATACATTTCACCCAACAAAGACATGCAGAAATACTCACTGACAGACAGATGCCTACTTCTGGGTTCTGGCTGCTGGTAGGGTGTGCTGACATCCCCCACAGACTGGGAAGTTTTAATCCTGACTTGTTTGGGCAGTCCAGAATGGGGTGAAGAACTGGTCTGTTGGGTAAAAATCAAAAGCACAGAATAAAATGAGACTGAGGAGCTCAAACTCCCCTGGCCACACTTCCAAAATCAGCATTATGTTTCGTAGCAAGGAAGTAGCTGAACAACAGTCCAACCAATGTTGTGGATATAATATTCCCTTCCTCTTGTACCACAGAATTTAACTAATCTTATTTTATTGACAGAACAGAACCAAAGACATCCTGAGGAAATTAACTCTGACCATTATCAGACCATGACTGGTAAACAAGGTGTGAGGCCACACAATCCACACTGAAGTAAGGAAGAGCTGCTCATTAAGAAGCACATACATTGCAAGGAGTAAGGAGGGAGCCTGATTTAAATCACAACTCCACCACAAAGGGGTTGCAGGATGCTGAATGAAGGGTGCAGGTCACCCTGGTGATGTGGACAGTCTGGATTTGGTACTCTAGGTGCTCAACTTCACCAGTTCTCCCCATCAGTCTCTAAACAGAATGGACTGACACCAGGGGCATGCTTGATAAAAGAAAGCACAACAAAGGCACAAGAAAATTCATCTGAGCACTATTCACGGGCTCTGGGAACTAGTGACACAGTTACTGCTGTCAAGTTCATTTGCTTTCTGCACATATTTGTGCCAAAGTCACAGCATTACCTTTCCATCCCCAGAAAAAAAGAAAAGAGCACAACCAAAACAAAATCTGCATCCTGTACTTCAGGAAAAATAATGCTTCCCGCTCCCTCAGTGGGATGAGATCATGCAGCCAAGAAACCTCCTTCAGGCCTGTGGGCTTTATCCCACGTAGGGCTCTCCTGTCAGGGAGCTCAGAGCTGCAGAGGAAGTTGGAGGAGAGGGGGGAAACAGTGGCACTTACTGAAGACTTTGCTGTTTGTTTCTGCTTTGAGCAAAAGAGGAAAAAACAGCTAGTAAAAGGACAACAGCAGAGTCCTGGCTGGTGTAGGATGAGATTTACCAAGTGTTTATTGGCAGTGGGTTATGTGAAGTTAGATGGTATCGTTTACAGCCTGGAGGCACTGACATTGGCAGAGGATTGTTGGACTGTGCTAGAGCAAAAGTTGAGGCCACCTTTTACAGGCTGTTTCCTGAAACACAGAACCAAGTCTGACTCCACCAGGTCACATCAAAGACCTCCTTGCCAAGTATTGTCTTCAGAACAGGCAGCAACAAATGCTCAGGGACAAGGAACAGCATCATCCCCTCCCACACCTTCCCAGCCATTTGGGAAAGGGCTGTGAACACTCCTGAAGGTCTTTGTATTGCCATTCCCATGGATTAACAAATTAAAACCCAGTGAGAAGTGTGTTTAAGTCCTCCAGGAATCATAGGTGTGATTATTCCATGAGTTTGAGCTCCCAGACTGCAGAACTTGATTAGGGATGAACACTGGAGATCGACAAGCTGCTGCCAACAGAGCAGATTTGTGTCACACTCTGCAGGAGAATTTGGTGATTTGCAAATGAAATATGGAAGCTATCAAGGCCTTTGGCTGGAAAAGCTGCATGACCTTAATTCTGAAACAAAAAGTAGAGATACTGGTTGAGTGAACTGTGTTTTCCAGGCACACATCAGGAATAAGGGAAACTTCTGACTCTTTTTGCCCTCTCCAGCTTGCAGTTCAGTTCACTGTCCAAAATGGGAGTTTGACTTCAGGATTTACTTCTCATATTATGATCTTTTCTGCTGAAAAAGGCAAACTTGAGATAAAATGGCCTTCACATGACAGCTGAAAAACCTGCAGTGGTTTAGCCCCCAAAGAGCTGCTGAAGTCAGGAAAAACTCAACACAAAAAGATACCCACAACTAAGCCAAAGCAAGAGAGGCTAAACATGCACTTGTGTTTGTGAAGAGTGGTTTTACTGATCCCTGCTCCTCTCAGAGCAGGTTGTTCCAGAGAGGTAAAAACCTTCCTTTAGCTGCAGTCACAGAAGTTGTTACCTACATGGTTTCTGTCCTGGGACAGCAATAATATTCTAAGGCTTTTCACATTAGAGCTTCGGTCTAAGAGATCTACAGCTTTATCCAGGTCATCCTGGTTTTTCAGAGGAATGGAGAGCTGCAAAATAAAGAACAGGAAAAAAATCATTAGAAGAGACAGAAAACAACAACTTTACTTCCACAATAGGTACTTAAACATCAGAAAAAGAGAACTACCAGAATATAATACAGGATTCTGACAGCTTATTCCACAAATTTTCATTCCAATACTCTCACTCTCCTCCCTAACAAGGTTTTCCTCCCATGCCAGAGAAGTGGGTGATCCTCTGCAAGTTCCTCTAAAGCATCAGCCACAAAAGTGAATTTGCTGTTGCAGAGAACAAGGCAGAGACTTGTCAGTCCCTGACTCCCTGATGAGAACATGGTCTCAGGATACTTATGAATCCAGACCTATTGCTCAAGTGAAAATTGGGTTTCAGACAGACTCGTACGAAGGAGATAAAGACTTTAAAGGGGGAATCAAATCAGAATTTAAACCTTGTTAGTAGGACCCCATGAAATAAGGCTCAGACACTCTATTCTACAGCTCAAAATGGGAATATTATTAACCCTGAAGAACTCTCCTTTTTGTCCCACTCTCACTGGTGAACGGGTTTGGCATCTCTCTCACTAGGGATGCAATCCTGAGCGGTGGGAGGGCAACACCACAACAAAAAACCCAAGGAAAAGCTGATGTGTCCAGGGTGAGAATGCCAACAAAACACTTTAGATGATGAATACAGACTACCCAGTTCCTCACAGCCCATTGCTGCTCCCCAGGTCACTCTCTTTACCAATGACAGTGCCCACAATCCCCCTAAGCATCCTGCCAGAGCCTCCTCTGCTCCTGGAGTCCTCTTGCTCCCCTGGGAGATGGGCAACGAGCACAAAGTGCTTCAGGCAGAGGGAGGTAGATGTGGTGCAAACAGCTCGATGCTGCTGCTGGGCAGGAGGCAAAATCCAAGCAATCCTGATCCTGCCAGCAGGCAGCACCAGAAATGCCTCTGGGGCTGCCTACAGGACTCTCCCTGGGTATCTATCAGCCTGCAAGATTTGCTTTCAGCAGTAAAACACTTCAAATACCTTTTTCACTTCCCCAAGAGAGTGTCCCAAACAATACCAGCACAAGGAAGCAAGATGCTGATGTTTGTACAACACACACAGAGACCAGTGTGATGTTTTGTCAGGATCAGAGTGTTTTCCTCTGGATCACAGTGATTCAACAATGGTTTTGTGCGAGAGGAAGAACATTAAATTTATGAGCACAGAATCTGTGATGTGGAAAGGAGGTGTCATCCAGAGAGTGTCCTGAGCACTGACAGCACTGCTCTGTACCTCGTTGTTCATGTAGTGGAGGTCCAGTGGCTGCCCAAAGGCTGTTTTCACTTTCTGCTGCACATCTTCGTAGCGCACGGGACGGACAAATGGGATAATCCTGGAATGGAAGAGAAGCAGTGACTGAGTTCAGAGACACCCTAGATAAAATGTGATCAAATCAGGTGGCTGAGCCATGAAGAACACATTTGAATGGTCTCCTTTCATCCTCAAGCAGGTAGTGAACCTTTCAGGTTTAGACTGAGGTGTATGAATCTCTGGCACGTTCCCAAATGGTTTGTCAAGATGCAATATTCAACTGAAGATCTGAAATGGAATCCCTCTGCCCTGGATAGGAAAATACCCTTTACTGGATCCATATCTTTCAATTCCAGGAAAGCATCTAAAACTCTGTAGTTTGCTGGAATGTTCTAAAGGAATTCACCAAGTACTCAGAAAGTCTCTACCTTGTCAGCCATGGAAGATGATGATTTTCAACCTCCTTAGAGGAAAAAGTCTCTACCTTGTCAGCCATGGAAGAAGATGATTTTCAACCTCCTTAGAGGAGGATTTTACTCAGAGAGTAAAATATCCTGGGGCAAGAACTGGAGGATTCTAATGTGAATTACAGTTGACAACCTGCTATTCTAAACAAACCAAGGATGTCTCCTGCTCAGAAAGCCACTTTTGCTGCACAAGGCCCAGATGGTTGGCTGCTCCTGCCTTGGGGCTCCTGCAGTCAGAGCTCTCACCATCTGCTTCCAAGGGCCACGAGACCAGCCACGAGTTAAACCAACAGCTCTGGGACACAGGTGACACTCACCATCCTCCCTCAAGCTTCCACAGCTGCTTATCCACTGCTGAACAACTCTGCTCTGGCACAGCTCAAACACTGCCACAAAGAGTTTGATTATTAGCATCACTTAACAGCTTTGTCACCAGGCAGAAATGAGGAGATATAAGTGGCCCACAGAAACTCAACATCTGTCTTGCTCACAGGGGCCACTCTGAGCTCACTGAAACTCTGAACACCTCAGGAGAGTTTGGGAGGGAAGGGAGGGAGAGGGACTTTTTATAGGGGCAGACAGTGACAGGACAAAGGGCAATGGTTTTAAACTGAGAGAGGGCAAGGTGAGATGGGATATTGGGAAGGAATTGTTCCCTGTGAGGTGCTGAGGCTCTGGCACAGGTTGCCCAGAGCAGCTGTGACTGTTCCATCCCTGGGAGTGTTCCAGGCCAGGTTGGATGAGGTTTGGAGCAACCTGGGCTGGTGAGTGGAATGAGATAAGCTTTACAGCCCCTTCCAACCCAAACCATTCTGTGATTCCATGATGAATCCATGCTTTGGACTGAGTTCTTACTTTCCCAACCATGCATCCAGCCCTCAGTATCCTTCCACTACTGCACCTTTTGTTTTAAATAGCCCTTGTGTTAGTTGGCTTCCTCAGCCCCTTCCCAGAAAGGTTCATCTTGCTACCAGACCTACAACACTCAGCTCCTTGGAAATAATTGTCCCTGTTAAAAAGCAGCCCACAATAACATTTTCTACACATTCCTAGGAAACCCATCCATGAAATTACAGTGCTCTGGCACCACACAAACGTAGTTTAGCTCTCAGCCAACTGAAGGCCCTTATAAAGGCTCCCATTCTACACCCCATGCATTCAAAAGCAGAGCTGTTCTCAGGTGCCACACATTCTATTAGTTTAGAAACTCCGTGCGCTGCTCCAACCCAAAATCCTGGGCTGCAGGGTTTAAGGAGCCCATTCCTGCCTGACCACCTTAAATATTTGTGGTTAGATCTGGCAGCTCCTCTGAAGCCAAGCACACACACTGACATTCTGGTGCAGGCTGGCTGGCTGGAGCTGCAGACTGTGCTGGGAGAGGGGAATTGGGGCGAGAGCGACAGTGTAATTACACCAACACACAATCAACCTTTTCATTCTTATGCTACCTCAGGAAAAAACCCTTTCTTCTCCCCTCAGCTGTGCTACCTGAGGTGCACCAGGGCAGAAGACAGGGAAGATGTGGTGACAGGAGGTTGCTGTGGGTTCCCTGGTCCCGGTGTGGTGTGACAAGGATTGGGATGTGGCTGGAGTCCACACAAAGCCTCTGACACAGGAGAGGGCTGAGCAGATCTGGCTGACAGAGGAGGCAGCAGATCCCAGCTGTGATTGCTCATTACATTTCTCCCTCAGCACCAGGAGTCAGCATTGTTTTAGTGACCAAACTCACTATGCAGGACTTCAATGAAAGGAACAGCTCAAGTTCTGAGGAAGACTACAAATCACTCTCCACTGCCTGCTCTGCTCTCCTAACAGAAATCCCAAAGTTTGGCTATGGGGGATCCTTGAGGAGGAGCTCAGCCAGTGACAAGCTATGAGGGTCACTACAGACAACTTGTGCTGTTGTACCACTGACATTTCATCAGGAAAACATGAACTACTTCATGCTGGAAGTGCTGCCTGGGATGGGAGAAACCAGAGGATTCCCATGGGATTTCTGTGAAGAGCAGCACACACTTTCATGCTTACAATCCAATTAATAACTTCCAAAAATAAGGAAACTATAACCTAGCATCAAGATCCTTTTTCCCCTCAGTGAGAGCTCAGGAGCAGCCTCAAAGAGACCACAGACAAGCCTGGAGCCTTCCTGTATGCTCACACAGCCACCAAACAGCCATTAAATGCTTTGAGAGCTCCTCTCCATTTGATGGCAAACAAGAGGCTTTTTGAGCCCTGCTTTCAAATATTTAGGCAATTTTATCCACTGCAAACAATGCTGTGAAAAATGAAACTGTTATTTCAGCTATTTCTGGGTTTTTCTTGTAGAAGAATGTGTCTCAAACCCAAGTATCGGAGGAAATAACAAAGAAACTTTTACACCAATGGAAAAAAAAAAACCTTCCCTTGCTGTATCTGTTGCTCAATCACAGCAGGACAGTGATAGTGATAGGGCATCAGGAAGTGAGAAACTCAAAAAGAATGACTCTGATTTGATCAGCTTCATTTGGTTTGAGTTAAAGGAAACAAAACGGGAATGTATCTGAAATGAGGCCTTCAGGCTGAACTTCTCTGGGGCTGGACAGCTTTTAATCCTGCTGCAAAGGGATCATCTGCCAGCAGATATTATGGAAATAAATCAGTGCTGTATGACAAACTGATCTTTAAAAATAACCGACATTGTGTGTGACCTGTTTGCTGTTGCCATCACTGTGGGATTTTCATTCAGGGGGAAAAAGGAAAGTGAAGCCAACAGAAGATTTCAGTTCAGCCACTGATGACTAAATGACTCTGCCAAGCAGAGAATCAAAGCAGTGAAGGTTCCACTCACCGTCTCTCCCCGTTGTGTTCAAACTTGATCCTGACGTCGTTCTGCAGGAAGAAGAACAAAAGGTGAGCTCACGATCACGCTCTGGCACTCAGAACAGCACAAAAATGCATCAAAACATGATTTTAAGATGACTTTAATATGATTTGGACTTTCCCCATGGAAGCTGACTGAGGGTGTGGATCTAAGTGTTGATACAGGAACACAGCACTGTGAGGAATGGAGAAACTGCTGAGGGAGAAAGAGAAGGGAAGGGGTAAAAACTAAGCTGTAATTTTTGATACTGTCACTGACACAGAAGACACCGAAATACACTTTAAGGAAAGTTAATTTATCTTTAGCACTGCATGGGAAAAATCTGAAATTAAGTCCTAACTGCTAATTCACCTGCACTGAAGTCAATTTTCCTTGGGCATTCTCAAAGCAAGAAGAGGAAAAAAAGAGAGATACAGGGAACATGCTACATTCCTGATTCTGTTTCCAATTTGACTCTGTGTCACTTTTCAAAGCTCTAAGGGGTCATCACCTGTGTGGGGATGGACAAAGCACTGACCACATCACTTGTGCACTCACTGCACACTCAGAAGATGCTCTGTGGCATGGAAGGGTCAACACTCTGAACTCTCAACTCTGGACATCAAAGTTCAACCCCCAATTTAGGTCACAAAGACAAAAATAAAAGGGAAAAATCTGCTCTGATAAGAGTCCATAATTTCTGCTGCACAATTTATGTGATTGGAATAGATTAGGCCATCTGTGAAAGCCTCAGACAATAGGCAATCACACATCTAGGAACTTCAAAAAAACGTGGCCAGGAAATGCTCTTTAGCTGGAGGAAGTATCTGGCAGGCCCAGTGGTCAAGAATGCAGTTCAAAGGGA